GAACTAGAAAAATTGTGTTTCATCAGTGCTATACTGCACCTTAGTTGAATCATCCCATCCTTATAACCCTTCTGTGGGGGGAATATCCAATTTTCTACAGATGGATGAAGCATTTCAGCCTGTGTGATCATGAGATATTGATGGCATCAGGTATGAGGCATCAAAAGATTCAAAACAAACAACTGTATCCATGTGAATGAGGAGGGGTGGAGTGAGATCCAAAGCCCATCTGCCACTTGTCTTTTGATCTCTTGACTGCTGCTTCCATGAACATTGATTGTGGATCCAAGCAAGGCAAAATCCTTAACAACTTCAACCTTTTCTCCATTTATTATGATGTTACCTATTGGTCCGGTTGTGAGGATTTGGGTTTTCATTACATCTAGTTGTAATACACACTGAAGGCTCCAATCCTTCATCTTCATCAGCAAGCACGTCAAGTTCTCTTTCACTATCAGCAAGCAAGGTGGCATCATCTGCCTATCAAGGGTTGTTAACAAGCCCTTTTCCACATTCTTCTTCATATAAGCCAGCTTCTCCGATTCTTTTCTCAGAATACAGATTAAATAAGTATGGTGAGAGGATAAAACCCTGAAGTACACCTCTCCTTATTTTAAACTATGCAATATTGCCTGATTTTGTTCACACAACTGCCTCTTGGTCCATGTACCATCCCACAGGAGCACAATGAAGTGTTCTGAAATTCTGCAGTAATAGTTATCTATCAGTGGATGCATGGATAGACTGAGTGTGGAAGAGAGAGGAAATATGTACCCCCATATATATTATAGGTAAACATATGTAAGTTTGACAGATGAAATTTTTAGCTAGGCATTTTCCTTTGATGCAAATATGTCCATGAATGTGTGGAACATACAGAGAATAAGGTTGTGAAAACTTCTCATTCATAACCAAACACCTTGGAGGAATAAGTCTCTGGACCTGGAGGATCAGCACCACAGATTTGGGGGACACCAAAGTCGGTTGGCATAACACAATACACTGTGGGGTACCAGCCCCCACAATCAAATGAGTCCAAGGGGCAGCAGTGTAATTGAGGGGCAAAATTAAAGAGACATCAGACAAGATAAAGCATGCAAGTGCTCACCTTCGCAGTCATGGCTTCCACAGCCAGGTCTGTGCAGGGAGAGAATATATTTCCAACCAAGGCTTATATACACTCTAGGGGTGTGCAAGTCCCCCTAATTACAGGTAACCACATACATAACAAAGTGGGCTGTATCCTAACCATAAAGGTCCCTGAGTACATTGGAGGAGTAACCTAATGCCAGTGCCCAGGACAGGTAAGGGGGAGTGGCGGTCTGCAGAGCCTAGAGAGCAATAGCACATGTCTGCCTCTATAAAGCTGCTAGACAGCAAAGAACCATGTGCTTTTAAGAGGTAACGTTAAGGTAGCACTATGAAGAGAGGATATAGTGGGGAACAATATTAATTATGAGAATGTGATTGGGAATCACCTCCAACTCACAAGGGTGAAGGACTCCCTCCACCCCAGAAACCCAGTCTGCCGGGCTTCTTCATATATGAGTGAGATAGTTAGTTTATTGTGCCAACCTGGCCAATAAACACATGTGGGGTTAATTGAAGGGTAGCGGGATAAATGACTCAGTGAGCCTCGCTTTTCTAGTTCTCGGATCTCTTGCTTTCTGATGGTCAGACCAGGGTGCAGCTGCCTTAGCCAGTTCCCTGCTTTAGCTGGCAAGGCTCACTTCCTGCAAGACATCCCCAAGGAGAAGCCACATGGACCTACCCCCATGCAGCCCTGGGTGCTGGAGCATCCGTGTGGAGACCCCTGCCAGCACTGAGATGTTTACACATTCACTGACTCAGCTTTCCTCCTGCAGTCAGCATCATTGCATCTGTTTGGTGAGGTGGAGGAGGACTTTGTGGATTGTTGTTGGATATATGGACTTGTGGGCTTGGGCAGCACTGGCTTGGGATGTTTTCTTGATGTGCACATAAGCTTTATATAAAACTATATATGAGTTTCTGTGGATTTGCTTCTCTAAAGTACCTAGACTAACACAATGAAAATAAAGGATTCATCCTTATATACTCTCTTCCCATTCTCTGTTTCCCCCAATACACAAAGATAATGGTCTGTATCTCACTTGGTTATCGGCTGGGGTCTTAAAATCTTGTGAGCAGCCATCTAAAGTGCAACTACTGGTCTCTCCATGCCTAGAAGAAAGAAGACTGAAGGAAGAAAATCAAAGTCACGTGGAAACAATTAGTCCATGGATTAATGGACCATGTGAACATCTGTCTCCTTTGTCCTGAGACCAGAACCAGATGATACCTGACCACCACTGCCAACAGTACTGAAAGGGATCCCAGGAGAGGGTCTGAGATAGAGTGGGAGAAAATGTGGACGAAATTCAAAATCATGAAA